GATGGTCGAAGAATCCCTGTCGCCCCCTCCCCCAAAAATCCTCGGCACCACTCCTAGCACAGCTGCCTCTCTCCTCGCGCTCGTTCACAAACAACTCCGCAATGGCGTCTCCCTCCGCCGGTGGGAGGAGGGAAAGAAGCCACCCTTCGCGACTGTACCACTGCGCCTGCTTGGGGAGGAGACCAAGAACGCCTTAGGAATGTACCACAGCGCCAGCGTGAAGAGGGGAGCACCTTTTCCGAGAGCCCGGGAATAGGCTTCCGCTCTCGTTTGCCTGGGGGATGCGGTCGGCGCGCGATATTTTGCAGGTTTCACTTATAGCGTGGCTTTTGTTTTCAAGATTGGTTCTGTGTTTATGTTTCTATCCTAACCACAGTTCCCTGATCGTCAGTTGTGGAGATGAAGTATAAGCCTCATGAAGAATCTAATTATAAACAAGTCTTATGGTACCGTAAGGGTTAATTAATTTATTAACGCCTAAGTTTTCGTTCATCACGAAAGACTGGTCAGTTCTTAAGGTGCCGCACGATTATTTTTGCTGCCTAGCACGACTAGCGTGATTATCCTGCTGCACGCTGAACCTATATCTACATGACAGTCATTTGTGTGTGTATTCTCCGTTAGCGACCTTGGCCAGCACAGGAGTGCTTTTTCAGAAACATCTCCGCTCCATGATGAAATCGGGGTTGCTTGGACAGAGGGGTAATAATACTCTAAAAAGCGGGTGGATAATAAAAAATTATTATGCTTTTTGACCATTCATTCCGTTGTTTTCTGCAGAAGAAGAATGGTTAAGAAACGGATCTTCTCCGTAGACTGAGAAGCAACTATATTTCTTCAGCTGAACAGAGACGCAGACGTACGTGAAGGAGTAGGGGGGAAAAAACCCTAGCAGAATGCCTAGTTGCAGCTAGCGAAAATAATAGAAGCTTTCTGTTTGCGAGCCGCTGCTGTGGAACGATACCTAAATGTACTTGAAATGAAGCGGATTAAAAAAAGAACCACCTCAGCGCAGCCTTGCTGCCGATTGATTTAGAAATAAAGTTGTCCTAGCGCTCCCTCCGTGCAATTAATAGCGTTTCCTCCTTAGTTTCAGGAACGTAGCCACCGCGCAGCCGAAACCGCCTGCCCCTGGAGCTTTTCGCCCATCTGACGATGCAAGGTGTTAACGTGAGGACAAAGAAATGAGCATTTTCCGGGTTGACGGCAGTTGGCATTTTCTGGTGTTTTCAACCCAACTTTGCCAACGCGCGGGACGTTCGTGGAACCGCGGCTTTGCAGAAGACCCATTAGGCGGGGCAACAAATACTCTTCCACCTGGGAGCCTACGTCACCCAGGACCTTGCCTTGCCCGAAACCTATCGAACGTGATGACGTCGTGCCTGGCTGTTGACATAGCGGCGGTTGCCATGGAACAGGGCCGGTTTGCTTGGCTAGGCCTGGGAAGACTCAACATGGGGATTTCCCGGGAGCAGGTCAGGAGCGCCCTGGATAAAGGTTGCGCGGGAGGGGAGCTATCGTGGTGTGTTCCGGTGTGACGCGGGAAGGAGGTTCCTTGAGGCCCGAAAAGAGCAGGCAGGGAGGGGTACGGAGGTGAAGCTGCGAAGCTTGCTCGGGTTGTGTTTCCAAATACTGTAGCATGGGAAGAGATGCGATGAAAGTGAGTAAAATGTTGCAGACTGACAGTCGTCGAAAACGAAATACAGGTCTAAAAGCAGAGGACTGTTTTGCAGTCCTACAATCCCATGCTCCAGAGAAAGCCTCAATATACTCAAAAGGACCTGAATCAATATGCAGAGGATTGATTTGAATATATTGAGTGGAACATCCAAACGCACAAAAGGGCACATTTGCAATGAGAGGTTAATCAGACGTTTCCACTCTGATATCCCCCAAAGTGGGCAGAAGAGTCTTTAGATGGTTTTAATGCTTCCTGTGAAAATCAGAATGGGAGATACACATTTGTCTGATTTTTTTTTTTCTTTTTGGGAAGGGGGAGTAATCTGTAATGGCACAGTGTAGCCAGTGGAAAATACATGAATGAGGATAATCCACAAAGGATGCAAACAGAGGACACTGTTCATTATGAGGGAGAGAGGAGCTGATCCCCACAGAGGTTTTGCATTACCTCTCCTAGATTTCCTCGCTATTGACCATCCTGATAGAGGTTGGTGATCATTGAAATTCAATCCTCTTCAGCGGAAAAATTGCCTGTTCTTGATCATGATCCACCCTCTCAGGCTGTTCTTATGTATCAGCATTTTCCATGCATTCTGCAGTTAACCATTTTGGAAATGAAATATAATATTGTTATAAATAATAGTTTCTCCAAATAATCTGACTGAAGGAGGACACATACTTTTTTTTTTTACAGAGTATAAACTCAGCCAATATCCTATTTCTGACATACTCTCATGATTAATCTTAGAGCCATAATGTTGTTTGCAAATACATACAGAATGAACGCATTAAGAAATAAGAGTGTAATAAGAATTAAGAGTTGGCTATAAACCGTAATTGGCTGATTTGAGTGCAGGCTGCCCTTTGTATTGGATGGGATATGGTCCACCAAATTATTAATCTAAGAATTCAGAATCATCCTGGATCAGATCAAAAGCCAGTTTAATCCAAAAATCTGTTCTTTTAGTAGTCAGCTAGATGCTTATGGAAAGTTGATAAGCAGAAGCTCTATAAAACGTTTGTGTTTGAGTCATCAGCAACAGGTGGTTGGAAGCATATTACCTCTAATACTGGTGGCAGCATATACCATCATGGCAAATAGTTGTAGATAGCCTTATCTTCCAATTGAGTTTTCTCCACTGAAATTAAATAAAGGTTTTATATTTTTCATTAAAAAACCCAGAAGGGATTAATATTGACTACCCCCATTTAATTTAGTGGGGCTTGGACAGGAGAATCTTGGTCAATGTCTTTAACAATTATATTGCTTATTAGATATGATGTTTTATTCTGATTATGTGTCATTAGGTCAGTTGTTGGGAAAAACTTCTGATGGCGTAGGTATAATTTATCTGCTGTTTATTTATAAAAATTGCTTAAGAAAGAAACAAAAATAAGATTGGTTAACACAAATATTTTCTTTTTTCCTCAAGAGATTTCAGACTTGAGTATGGAGATGTATGAGATCCTTGGAAAAGTGGGAGAGGGAAGTTACGGAACGGTAATGAAATGCAAACACAAGGAAACGGGACATATAGTTGCCATTAAGATATTTTATGAAAAGCCAGAAAAGTCTGTCAACAAAATTGCAATGAGAGAGATAAAATTCCTGAAGGTTTGCTTCTTTTATTATTTTAAAAATCAGTACTTTTAATACAGGCTTGTATAACTTGTATAGGGGAAAGGGCCACATCGATAAATTAAAAATAATCACAGGATGCAAAGAAATACTTGGTGCACCAATCAGCTGTTCACCAGCTAGTAGAGCAGTAATAGTGCTGGAGCTGGCGGTGAGGCCTGGAGGCGTTGAAGGTACTTGGCAGTACATCTTTGCAATGGCAGTGGCAGTGAATTTATTGACTTTTAAAAAAATGCCAGTTGGCCACTTGTTATGCGGGAGCGTTTTAATTATAACCTAGTAAGTACATACATCTATAAGTAAAGGGATTATGTTTATGCCAGATTTGTTTTTGTGTAAGTCTTTTAAAATTAGCACGCACTTTTTAAAGAAATCAACACTCACCCTAAGTGTACACTTTTGAACTTTGTTCCAAAGAAATCAATTACATTTATTACTGCATGCATTTCTTGTGTTTCCTATAGCTCCAATGAAGGCTGGCTTATTCAGAGGTGACAGTAGTTTCTTTGCTTTACAGATTTGGATTTTTAGATTTTGTGTGCTTGAATATATTGAAAATATATCCTTCAGTGAGATTGTTCTAGTGGAAGTTGAAGTTATCCCAGTTTTGCTTTGCTGGCTATCCCAGTGGGAGATTCTTCTGGGCATGCACACATGCACAGAAAACCTCTTTAAAATTATCCTGCTGCAGCTGCTTCACATCTTCATATGGCTGCAGCAAGATACGTTTATGTTATGCTATTGTTTTTAGTAGATAATAAATGGAGCAACTGTGTATTAATGATATAGTATTTAATAATAGAATTATTTTCATTATTCCTCAGATTCCAAAGCTTTGTTTCTGTGTGGTAAACTCTGGGGGTTCCTTTCAGACCCTCATGCTGTTTAACTTCTATACAAATCTGTTAGGTGAGGTGATCTGGGATTTGGTGGTGGATGTTATTGCTATGCTGATGTTGTCCAACTATATTTCTCTCTTTCCTTGGAGTTGTATGCTGCTGTGCAGGTAAGGGACTTCTAACTGGATACTCTAATGACCAAGGCATGAAGCTAATCCTGATAAGTTGCAGACTGGATAGAATTGTGGTTCTCAGATCTGGGCATTTGAAAAATAACTTACTGAGATACGATTGAACTTCTGTTGAAGGAGTCAGTAGCTCTAGAGTATTCTTCAATCATTTTTTGTCATTGGAAGATCAAATAACTTTGGTGATCTGAAGCACCTCTGACCAGCTATGACCATTTCTAGTCAGGGATAGAATATTCATTCTCTGAAACTTCTTATCTGGATATTTGTGAAGTTATCATTGAAGGTGGCAAAGTGCTACCACACACAGTGAAAATGCCACATTTAAAATTAGTGGCTCTTTGGTACTCTCATACAAGTGGAAAGAAAACAGCAGTGATGTGTCACAGATCATCATAAATGGTTTCTCAGTTTCTTTTAGATTCTTCCACCTCACAGCCAGAAGCAATGTGTCTTCCTTTGCATTGTTCCTGATCTTTATTTGCCAGTTGAAGAGATGGTTGTGATTCTGGTAGCAAGTTCTGGACAGCCGTTTCCAAGCTGCTTTGAGCAAAATTGACCCAAAGAGAAGACAGACCAATTTTGTTTTCTCTTAGAGACTGCAGTGGTAGGGCTCACAAATTCTGCAGATCCTGGTACCAGCATATATTCCTATGAGACCAATTTCAAAAGAATTGCACTGGGTGCCATATGTTTATGGTACGTGTTCATGGCATTAGTGATAACATGTAGAATCCTAAATGGGACATTGCTCCAATAAGTTCCTGCCTAAATATTAAGGTCCGTGAGTCTGTTCCCTCATAGAAGCTGTATGTTAGGAAGAGATAAAGGAAAAGGACCTGTCAGCTGTGATAGCTGAGTTATGGAATGAGCCCTTTCATAGGGTTTTCATGATACATGGTGATTTATTTCAACAACAGTTTAAGAGATAGCTACGTAAGCTTTGAGATTAGTGCAATTTTGTGTAGTTTTGTTGGTTTAGTAGCATTAATTTTATAGTAATTTTCTAAAATTGTAATTGCTAGTGTATATTCAGTATTCAATCTATATGGCATGAATACACACACACACACACACACACACATATATATATATACATGCATGCATATATATGGCATAGGGTGGGCTAGAAATATGTTAATAAATATTGTAAGTTGTAAAATTATTTATTTGTTCTGTTTATACAATTTATAGGCTGCTCGACTCCCAACAACTCTGGGAGGCTTTACAATTCACTAAAGAGG